CCATAGCGTTCATTTCGTGAGTATAGTATATTCGGAACAGTTCGGCCTCTCTCCAGCTTCGTCCCTACGGTCCCTTTATATGTGTGGCTGGGCTAGAGTCGGCAAACTAGACAATCTCTATATCTCCACAGACAATGGAACAACAAAAAATATTGTATACCCACAAGCATTCTGAAATTAAACATATTAGAAACTTGCACTTTCTCTTTTCTTTGTTTTCCATTTAACCAGACTGGGCCACAGCAATGCGTGGCCGGGTACAGCTAGTATATTAATAAAACTCTTTCCTTTCTTCTAGTAACATTTAGTCATATAAATAGTTGCATGTCTCTAGGATGTCATGCAATCTTTCTGTATAATGGACTATAATGGATCCTGCCTTATAAAGGATTATTAGAAGTCACTTTAATGCAAGAGAATTATCTTAGACTTAGAACATCCTTCTATAACTACGCTGTATCAGTTGTTTTGAGACTATGCCTTCCAATAAAAGAATTGTACGTCCAGCAGACCAGGATGCCATTACGTTGGATAAAACTGCATTAGAGGAATTGTTTTCAGCAGGATTGAATATTGCCAGGCATCAGTTTATTTTAAGTTGGGTTTGGGCTTTATTGACTGGTACACCTACTTAAAATTGCTGTTTCTTTCTATGAAAAAATATATTTATTTATTCATTTAACCAATCAACTTGGATACCGCCCGATTCCAACCAACTTTATGATATTTCCTCTAGGTGATTGTTTGATTGAGTCAACCTACATTTACAGATTTTATTCTTGAAAGGCTGTGAGAAGGAATTCAAGATTGCACATTTATGTAGAACAATGGCACTATACAAAGCACTTAGTTCTTGAAGGAATTATTTATATAACACAAATCATGGACCACACTTTGCTCTTTAGTTTTACTCTCTTGAATGCTCTTGAGTATTTCTAATAATTTTGAGAATAAACTGCAATTAAATTATTGCTAAACTTTTGCTAGAAAGACTATTGAAATTACTTCCCTAAATAGTCTTTATTTTATACAGGTCAGTGACCCAGTAGCAGCTGAATTTAATCTCAATACTCAAATGTTTCTGCTATCCAAGAAGGATCTGTGGCTGTCTGATGGTTCTCTGGGATTTGGAGAAGAAACTGATGTCTCATTTACAGAGGGTAACATCTGCTTTAACATAGCGAAATAGATCAATGAACCATTCTGGCCACACTTGTCAAATCCCTTTTGTTAACTGCAGTGTGTTCATTTACACGGGATAATGCTCTAAGGAATCCTGTCCTCTTATATTACAATATTTGTTATTCAGAATGAAGGGGACTTTTGTCCACTTGTACTATGAATTAAAAAGCATATTTAAAATTACAGTGGTGCAGATGAGCAATCATCTTTGTATGAAATGCTGTTTTTTTAAATTATAAAATGCATTGTGTAATGTGACTCTGCAAAAAATGTTCCTTAGGAAGCAGAATTCCTGATTTTATATTGACTAATACCTTACTCAAATTGTAACTGGGATGACCAAGATATATTAAATCACTAGTGTAACATCATATAAATTATCTTTACTTGTGTCCTGAATAAAGACTGACCCCTGGTGAAGAAAAATTGAAGTGCAGGAATTTTCGCTAGAGCAAGTAAAATGCTGAACTAAGCATCTAGGAGCAATATAAAGCATTTATCTTAATAGCTCAAAGTAAGGGCAGTATTTATATAGAATTATGACATAATATAGCCAATCATTGTTGGGGGATGAATAAACAGAATTATTAAAACATGTTAGTATTAAAAACATTTTAAATATATATAAAAGAAATCTAGTTTATCCAGAATGTCATGCATGTCTTCTCTAAGTGCAGTGCAATGTGCGGTGATGCATGGAAAATAATTTCCTATGCTGGCTTCCTGGGCCTAGCATGTCTTCTTCACCATGATAGCATGGTGTGTTGATATTATCAATATATGCCAAACATATATTGTTCATAAATATTATTGTTCATAAATTTCAACCTTTGTCACCTTTTCAAAATAGTAAACTGAATTGGAGTAAAAAAAATACATTTGATTTTTTAAAAATATTTAAAGTGAATTCAAACTATGGTTAATGTGATTATCTTAGTCTGTTAATTTTACTTTTATGTCACATGAATTATTATTATTTGGTTATTGAATTTGGGGAATTACATCCAAGGGCTTTTCAAGCCAGTGTTGGTTTTGATCTCATGTTTCTTTAATTTTAGGTTCAGAAATCTACGGTCGTATCATGGTGGATCCTGTTCAGAATTTAGGGGAATCTTTCATCTGTAACATTGAGAAGGTGTTCTTATGTACAGGGGCCGATGGGTATGTTCCCAAGTATAATCCAAGTAACAAAGAATATGGTTGTCTAGCTGACTCATCTTCCCTATTGTACAGATTCAAAATCCTGGTATGTATGCAATACTAGATGAATAGATTCCCATAAACATCATTTTTAACTTTAAACTTAATAATATACTACTATTTCTTTATTCCCTAGGATAAAGCTCAACCAGATACACAAGCAAAAATGTTTGGAAATATGGCATTCCACGCTAAACTAGCAGTTGATCACATTGATGGACATCCTTTGGTAAAACAGCCTGGTTCTGATGGATTCAGCTTGCTGTCAACTCCATTATTCCAGGTAAAAAAATGTGGTGGATAATACTGTTATTGCATGAAAACAGCTACATGCAAGTTGGGTGTGCAGCTACTGGAATCTCACTGTCTTCTTCATTTTTCTTGGTTTTCTATTTTATTTCATCTGTTGTTGTTTTTTAAATCTAATAGGTAGCAGTGGGTCGAGAATGGTACATCCATACCATCTACATGGTTCGATCACGTGAAAATGTTCATAAGGGCTTTGGAAAAAGAAGTATTGAGTATCACCATGTTTTATCTTGCAATAACAGCACCTCACATCTTAGTCGTTCTCGGAGAGCTGTTTCTGATATTCCTGCTCTTGCCCAAGATATTGGTGCTGATAAGAATAGAGGAACGAATATCCAGCATATAGTTCTTGACCGATCTAGTAAAATTACCCTCAAGCAGAGAGAATGGTCTCCAGCAGGTAAACCTTATGAAAAGCCAGTCCTGCAAATTCCAGGAAGTAATGCAGAAGACAAGATAATTCCCATTATTGGAGGTGCAATTGGACTGCTGCTTCTTCTCTGCACTGTTATAATTATTATATTACTTCTGAAGCGAAAGGGACATTCAACTGATAGAAAAACAAGCTCATTTACCAATCATTCCAAAAGTAATGAAACTGTGACTACACAGCAGAGCAATAGTGATAGCTCTGAAGTTTAACAGCATTGAGATCCTACATAATGGAAATCATATGGGGCTGGGGTAGATATGGAATTAGGCTGCTGCAGTTTTGGTGCTATGTTGTGTGAGATTCCAGCATTTGGAAGAAAAGTATAGCAAAGATAATCTGTATAGAAATGTGACTTATTTATAACTTCCCCACAACCAACTCCCAGGAACACAGGATGATCTCCTGGAATACAATGTTAATTAAATTTAGCATTTCCCCCCATGAAATGGTGGTTTAAAAAAAATCTGTTAGCAGGTATAAGTGTGCCTTATCTATCAATGTGAAAGCCTGGTGCTATTCAAAGGGATATTGATTTCCTTTTCATTAAGTTGTATAGTGTTTAGATTTATACCATTTTTATATGAAAGGGTGGGAGGGAGGTTAAGAAAAAAGATAAAATTTTAACTAAATGGGATACAAGCAAATATCTATAATTAAATCTCAATGGAATCTGTATTGATAAGCAAAACACTGTATTGGAAAAATACTGAACTTATTTAATGAGAATGTTTCTTGAATGTTTTAATAGACAGTTATTACAAATAGTCTTTCATACAACATCCTGCAATGTTCTGTACTTATGTAACATGAATGTCATACAACTAAATCTAAATATTAGATTATTATTCCAATTGCTTGCAGTTAGTCATATTTTATTTATGTTAGTTCGAATAGCTCTCTCCTAATGGAACTTGGAAAATGTTGTAAAATATTGTGAATAACTTACATGACCTTAACTGCCTGGAAATTTCTTTTCAGAGTATCATTTAAAAAAAAAACACAACTGCTACTTATCTAAGCAATCATAGTAAATTTTGTGTCAACAGATGCAACCGTTTAAAAAATTATGCGACAATTATTAGCATGTTATTTTGGGGGAGGGGGAAATCATTCTGGAAAGGTCTATTCAATATTGTTTTAGGGTAACCAAGATGGAACCAAGATGAATAAAATAGTGCCATATTTTCAAAGCTGGTAACCCCCTTTTTATTTCAACTTTAATTGTGAACTGAATAGAATTGCCTTCAGTTCTAAACCAACTTTCCATGCCAGATTGATAGAATCTATATAATTCCAAAATAAGTAAAATTAAGTTATTGCCCCTATTTCTTGAGGTTCTGTAGCGTGGAATTAATCAGCATATGCTAAATTTGGTTACAAAATTTAGATATTTCTCACACAGTAAGTTTTTGCCCCAGACATCTAGAAAGTTTTAGATTCAAATTAGCTTCCTTACAGAAAAACAAAGTACATTAATAATAAGATTGCACCAACTTATTCAGAAGCTACACCAATTTCAGTAGGATCTACTCGTAAATGTCTCTGTGAGATCAAAGCTTTAATTAATCAGGGTGCTGTACAAAGTATTTTGAGATACTAAAAACTATCCCTGGTTAATTGGATAGCCAGTTTTATTTTTTAACAGCAATTGTGTTGTTAAAACAAAGAGTTTCTTTTTTCTCATGCTTAGGAGGAACTCCTGCTAATGATGCTTGGACACTAATTTGTCTATAGGCAATTTAATTAAGATTCAATTTTTTAATTGACATAATCATTGTGAGTTGGTTAAGATATCTATTTATTCTTCTCAGAATGATACTACTGACCGATCCCTAAATTATAATAACTGTTTTAATATGTCTGCTAGTTTCCTTTAAATATTTTAATTCAGTGTTTATTAGCTAATCGGTCAAAAAATAACTAGCATATAAAAGTCTCCTGCTTTAGAGGAGAAAATTATCAATAATGGATCCACCAGTTGCTGCTACTGCTTCTTATTTCGTTTCATGTAGGGCAATTCACATTTCAAGATTATTTGGAAATGTGCATTGTATAAGAGCAGCTCTCTACTGTTCATTAAAGGAAACCAACATTTGTGGCTTTCAAAGCTAGTGTGAATTGCCCTGATATGTTTCCAAATGACAATAGCAATATATTTTTATCCACCTGTACCAGCTAAATTCAAGTTACTCATATCAGAGGACCATGCTGTATTTTCTTCAGTACCTTTTATCTGTCTAGACATAATAGCTAGTTTCTATTCCTCCTCATCCTTTTCTTTTTTGTTAAGCCAAAGTAGTTTAATGGTTCATTCATGAAAAAATAAATGTATGAAGTGTGAACAATTCTCAATGTAAAATTGACAATGATAGATTCTTTTGCTTAAAGGAAGTCAAAATTTGCAAGGTTTATTTTAATTAGCTGAACTAATAAGGTTTATATACTTGGCTGATTATGAACAATTTATCATATGTTAATCATTGGTTATTTATTCTGTGAAAATAATGGTCTTAATATCTTATTAACTGTAGACTTTCACATTTCCAGGATTACCACTGTTACATTACCAAGCAGTTGGAAGCTTATTTCATTAATATGCTAACTATATACATCTATGTTGAAGCGCTAAAGAAAGAAGCAAACTCTGATAGTCCCAAAGGTGCTTTTTTCAAGAGGCAACTGGACTTTCTGGTTTTTCTTCAAAGACGTTTCGCTTCTCATCCAAGAAGCTTCTTCAGCTCTGACTGGATGGTAGGTGAAGAAACTTCTTCGTTGAGAAGCAAAACTAGTTGCCTCTTGAAAAAAGCACCTTTGGGACAACCATGACCTGGATGAGTGAGAATCTCTATAGACAAACTCTGATAGAAAGATCTTGAAAAGAAACAGCCTTTGAAAAATGGTGTGCATTGCTTGTACATTGCTCAATAAGAGGAGAGCATGTGTGTTATGATAAGACTAGTTTTATTTACACTACTTGGAATAAGACTCCCTTTAGTTAAATTTCTCTTTCCAAAGTTTTACTGTAAATTATATGACAACTGGTACAACCATCCAGTCTATTTTTCATTTAGCAACCGAAAGGTGGAAAGCCACTAAAATATAAGCATTCTTTCATTAGTGTTCCTAATATAGAATAAAATACTTCCCAAACAGTACATTACTGCAATTTATATTACATTCAGATTTATAAGTCATATATCGATATACTTAACTCCCTTATTTCTTTTTTTTAATTGAAAATTTTAAAAAAGCTTTTACAAATATTTACCTCCCCTCCCCCACCCTCCC